CTTATTGGCGGTATGAACCGACGCACAGTGGGGTATTTGACACAGATAGTTGATCGAAATTTTTTTATGTAGACCTTATATAAATTATTGCTAATTTCAATTAAAGGGGAAATAATATGAACAAAATAAAGGATAATTCGTCGATTCTAAAAAAAGAAAGAAAAATCACTGTTCCAGTGTTTCCACGGACAATGCCACTAATACCAGTAGTAATATCGCAACTATTACTACTCATGCTACGACTGATCCGCGAGCAATGCCCATCCACTAAAGTCGCTACTAATGCCAAATTGTGTTATACTGCTAATGGCACTAATGCGATCGCTTTGTACACAACAATTCCATCGCGGTTTACACCTCGCATTAGTATAACACTGATTGGCAAATTAGAGGAAACCAAGAATGTTTTTCTCATTTTATCAGCAAAGTCGCAAAAAGTCGCAGTATTTTATTTTACTGTACGAAAGCCCAATGTTTACTAAGTAAAACGTATATAGACAATATGCTGAATTCTTCAAAATGCGCAACTAAACCTCTAAGTATAATAAAAATGTCACAAATTTAATCAAATTTTCTGAACGCCCAACTTTTAGTTCCAAAAAAAATCGTTAGTATAGAGAATATCAAAATTAATAATACGTTTCTGTAGAATACATACCTGCAGCTTGCTGAGCCATATTCAATCAAAACAATAATATAAACGTAAAAAGAGCACAAGAACAAAAACAATTTATAATTTTAGACATAAAATTTAGCCATTTTCCTCTTATCTGTGAGAAGTAACAACTTTGACGTTTCGTTGAAACAAATGAATGCAACTAAACACAGCCATAGCAACGCCATTCATTGCAGACATGATTTAACTTATCATTTATCTTTTCTTGGGAAATCTTAAACACATTTGATTTTTCGAATTTCAATCACCTTTTTCATGCTAATACCCCACCGTGCGACGTCTACAAATTGTTTATAACAACCGGGGGGCACTACAAAGTATTAGACTATTTTTTACAATGTTTTTTTTTTTAATAGTTTTAATATTCTTAGTTCTGTGAGTTTTACTAATATTTATTAAAACCAAGCCTGTATCGTAACTTTTTAACGTTTTTAAATTTTAATATAGAGTTCTAATACAGTGTCGATATGACATTATGACAATAATCATCAAAACCACCTCGTGATATTCAAACATAACATCATAAAATAATAATAGTTCGTCTCAAAAATTAACCAAGGCACGTGTTGACACCAGTCAAAAAACGAAATGCTCAGGAGACACGGTTATGATCGAAAAATAATGTTTTAGGATACGTTTAGGATGCGAAATTATTGCACAGGGTGTTTTAAAATTAAGGTAAATAACATTTCAATTAACTCTGTATAATAAGCCAAATACTAAAGTTTTTAAAAAAACTGAGTTTATGAATTAAAGTTAATAGATTATATATATAGTTTGCTAAAAAAGTCATGCAATTTGGACTAAAAGTACAAAAATATAACACTTTAAACTGCGTTTTTTTGCATCTGAGTGTAGAGAACCCCAATTAGACATATAACATAGAATTATTATCTTATTGTATGTATAAATAAATCATTTTTATACACCATTATTTATATTTTCCATTCAAAAACTCGAGAAAACTAAAAGAAAAGTTCCAGGAACGACACGGATACTTTACGATGCTCGCGAAACTTGTCCAGTTTGTTTTAATAAAGCCGGAGACAATTTAGAAGCGGACTCGTCTTCCCGATTCGCAACATGTTCTTCGGACTTTTTACGAGCAAAATTAGCGTTTGTCGTAAAGTTACGGCAGAGAAGCTTCTTAATGCAGTCGCTCTCGCTGACGTAATAATTCACGCTCCATAACTTTATGGTCGCTTTTTTTCGCCTTAAAAGGAGCTTCTTCCACTTCTTTTAAAACTTTAACTTCGAGAGAAGGAGAGTTTAAAATTTCGTTAGGAAAGTTTTCGGTTAATGTAGTCAGTCACATATTTGGAACTCTCTAAATCATCTCCGGGATCTGTTTATCGTGTCCTATATCTCAACTTTTACATTATCTTTATTCAAGCGTAGTGCTGTTTTTCTCCCACTTTAAGAGGATTAAAGGTTCATAAAAAATGGCCCTAAGTACCTTCATTTTATTGTTGTGGTAATAATTTAATGGCAATTTATTTTTTATTATTTTTTTTCCATAGCAAGTGTTAAAATTGCCATATATCTATCAAAAATAGAAGATACAATAATACTTTAACCCCAAGGGTAGATTAAATGATACTTTAACAGCGAGGATAAGTTAAAAACTTTATTTCTTCTCGCACATTTTAAATTGCTTCCATTTTTGAAAATTTTTGTATTCCTTTTCATAAGTTATTCGGGATTTAAACGGAAGTAGCTTGGATATGGCGTTTGTCACCTCAGCCCGAATATCTGTTGGTAATTTACTTATTTCGTTTTGAGCAATTTCTGGCTCCAATTCGATCAGCAATCGACACGAAAGGAAATTAAAAAATATTGACTCAAAACTGACAACTAAAGAGACAGCTTTATTTATTTGTCAAATTACATAGAAACCAACTCCAACCCAAATCAATATTTTTTCTACTCTTAATAAATTCCTTGAAATAATAATTTCTGAATATTTTTTAAAACGTAACTCGCTATGGAAAAAAATATTGTTTTATACAAGACGATAAAATTGCATTACCGTCTCCGGAAATTTTTTCGGTCGACTTGTATAAAAAATAACTATTAATTTTTTTATTTTATTTAATCTACAGAGTAACACAGTAGTAAGTCATTGAAATGAAGTAATAATGAATTGTCATTAAATCATTACCACAACAAATAAAATGAAGGCACCTAGGGCCATTATTTAAAAACCTTAAATCCTCTTAAAACTGGAAGAAAAACAGCACTACGCTTGAATAAAGATAATGTAAAAGTTGAGATATAGGACACGATAAACAGATCCGGGAAATGATTTAGAGAGTTCCAAATATGTGACTGACTACATTAACCGAAAACTTTCCTAACGAAATTTTAAACTCTCCTTCTCTCGAAGTTAAAGTTTTAAAAGAAGTGGAAGAAGCTCCTTTTAAGGCGAAAAAAAGCGACCATAAAGTTATGGAGCGTGAATTATTACGTCAGCGAGAGCGACTGCATTAAGAAGCTTCTCTGCCGTAACTTTACGACAAACGCTAATTTTGCTCGTAAAAAGTACGGAGAACATGTTGCGAATCGGGAAGACGAGTCCGCTTCTAAATTGTCTCCGGCTTTATTAAAACAAACTGGACAAGTTTCGCGAGCGTCGTAAAGTATCCGTGTCGTTCCTGGAACTTTTCTTTTAGTTTTCTCAAGTTTTTGAATGGAAAATATAAATAATGACGTATAGAAATGATTTGTTTATACATATAATAAGGGTACTAATAATAATAATAATAATAATTAGGGTACTCTTCACTCAGATGCAAAAAAAAACGCAACGCAGAATTTTTTAAAGTGTTATATTTTTTTTACTTTTAGCCCTATTTTCATGACTTTTTTTAGCAAACTGTATAAAAATCTATCAAATTTAATTAACAATTCAGTTTTTTATAAACTTTTGTATTTGGCTTATTGTATAGAGTCAATTGAAATGAAAAAAAATGAAAAAAAAATTTACCTTAATTTTAAAACACCCTGTGCAATAACTTTGTAAGTAACTTTTTCTAAAACATTATTTTTCGATCAGAACCGTGTCTCCTGAGCATTTTGTTTTTTGACTCATGTCAACAAATGTCTTGGTTAATTTTTAAAAGTAAAATGAACTGGCCACTATCATTATTTTATGATGTTATTTTTTAATATCACGTGACTTTTGTAACTATTGTCATAATGTCATATCGACACTGATTAGAACTATATATTAAAATTTATAAAACTCTAAAAAGTAGCGATACAGGCTTGGTTTTAATAAATATCAGTGACACTAACAGAACTAAGGATATTAAAAAAATAATTGTAATAACTAAGTGTACGAACAAAAAACTTATAAAAAAATACTTTAATACTGGTCTGTAGATGTCGGTGCATACTGTTAATGAGGCTGCAAATATAATGTGTTATGTTTTCCCATTCTTCTTCAAGGACTAGCGAATATTTATAATTTCGACCATCTCCAACATGATCAATGACTTTTACACAATCTACGATACTAAAAACTATATCAATCGTACCACGTCATTATGAAGAAAGCCACCTCGTCATTATGAAGAAAACATCAAAAAGTAACGATAATTGAAGAAATTGCAAAATGTTTGTGGCAAGTTCATTTTCCTCTTAAAAATAAATCAAGGCATGTGTTGACATGAGTCAAAAAACAAAATATTCTGAAGACATGGAAATCTGACTCAAAAATAATGTTCTAGCAAAATTTGGTCGGGAAATTATTGCACAGAGTGTTTTAAAAATAGGGTAAAAAACCACTCTTCGATTAACCTTCTATAATCAGTTAAATACTAGTTTATAATAAACTGAGTTTACGAATTAAAGTTGATATATCTATATACAGTTTGCAATTAAAAAAAAATACATTTTGAACTTGACCAAAAAAATTTCCGTTGCGTTTTTTTTATTTGAGTGTAAAATATACTATTTTTTCCAAATGTAGATACTTTTTATCATTATTTTTTTTTAAACAGAGTGAAACTACAAAAAAGAAAATAAATATTTCAACAGGATACAAATTTGAGAATAAATAACACACATACTATACTATATAGTGGGATTGTGGGTGTTATTTTTCTTTCAAATATGTGTTCATGATAGATTTATGTTAATATCTCATACCCCCACTTTCATCCTCATAATTAAATTTAATAAACTGATAAACCTAATAAAATTTTAATTTATATTGTAACAATTTCATCTAAACCTTAATAAAAAATTGGCCTTTTTAAAATAAACTAAACTTAAAATTAATATAACTATTAAAATAAGAATAATATAAAAAGTTACTCACAATCTCCTTTCAGTGGACATTCACTAATCACAACAACAACAGAAAATAATCACCAGTAAGGAACAAAACAAAAACTAATATTCTATAACACAAGAAAAAAAAACACTAAAAATTTGAAATAATGTCTTGTCACTCAATCACCGTTTTGTTTAAATAAAGTAATACACAAAAAATACTAAATTAATCAAAATTTTTTTGTAAAAACAATGCCTCGTAAACCCTCTGATTAGGCTAAAGCGACGTACACACACGTAAATTGTGCGTCTTTATTGTTTCTCTATCGAACAGCCACTAATTTAAATCATTCCGATTTTGCCGCGCACGGCCCAGTGAGCGGTACTTTAATCGCTCCGCCGGCCGCTAGACGGCGCTGCCCGTAGGAGGGGATAGAGAGACGTAGCCCGATGTAAGTTAAGGGGAACGCCGTACGTCCTCGCACGCCTATAATAATACGACACCATTAGAAGCGACCCATCGTAAACATCCCGAAATATCACTGCCGGGCCGGTGGTGGGGATGGACGAGGGGTGGAGCGAAGGCAGGGGGTGTCCGGGAGGGGGACGCGTTCACCAATGAGCTCGTACATCACGAATTTCGGGGGTGTCATGGTAATTTAAGAGGAGACCGGCTGAACGATGTGTCGGTCGGTTCTTTCATCGACTGCGGAGAGAGATAGGCTAGTGGTACCTGCCTACGGAAGTGGTTGGGAGAGAGATGGATATGAGGTGGTGATGAGAATGCAATTTGGAATGGTTTGTGGTGGTAATTTAGGTGTTGTGAGGGGTGTTTTTTGTGTGTGGCTAATTGTTTGTGATGATTTGCGATTTTTTTTTGAATAAAAAAAGAAGTAAAAATTTATTTCTTGTATTCTATCTAGTTTAGTTGCGTGTCTTTGTTGTTGTTATGACTTTTTTCGGTGTTTGTCAATTTAAAAAAAATATGTTAAATCTAGCAAGCATAATAGTTACTCTCTACTACTTTGTTTACACGGATTTCTTTTCATTCAAATTACAGACACACATTTTCGTTTCTGGGAATTTTTATTATTATAACGTATTATAACAATTTATTTTTAAATGTTCTTATTGTGAAGTATTTTTTAAATATAAACGAACAATATACTTACAAAACATCCGTCAAGAAGTTTATTATTTAAATATAATAGCAACTTATCAAATGAAAAAATAAAATCTTTTTTGGGCAGTTTAAGTAAATATTCTAGAAGAAATTAAATATAATCATATAAAACTCATGTCAAAAGAATATTATTTAGATATTAGATACATAGATCAGATACATTGTAGTAGATCATCCCTTGCCTTGTAAGAATTGTAGAAAAGGTGTCTCATAACCGGGTGAATTGTGATAGTTATTCAGAGTAAATATACATACCTATGTTGCCATATTATCAAGAAATTATGTTTTTTAACTAAAAATTTAAAAAAAAATTCAAAAAAATTTCAAAAAATTCCAAATTTTCATGTTTCTGGGGTCAAAATATACTACCCCTAAAAATATTTGCATTTATTTAAGACTCACCCTGTATATTTCAAATTTTATCAAAATTAAACTATGTTAAACGATATTATTTCATATTTTCTAAAGTAGATTTATCGCTTAAACGATGGGAAAGTTGATGTAATTCATAATATTATATTTCTTTCAAAATACCTACATATATGCCGATTTTAACTATTTTATTTTCTAATCATTAAGTAGTATTTGTAGTCTTAATTTGTATGGGTTTCCATACTGATTCTTACATGTGGAAGAGATAATACAATAGTAAAAAAAATATCTTTACTACCTGAGAAGGTGTTTAGATGAAATTAAATAAAAGGTATGGTATGACAACAGAATTGCAATTTAGGCTGGATTGTGATGATAATTTACCTGGAGAAATTCTTTTGTGCGCCTTCCTTTTTGTTGCTGTAGAATATTAGGAGGTTTTTTTTTGTTGGGTGTGTTACCACATATTTTATGAATTTTATTAAAAGAAAATATTTAAGACTACCATTAATATAATATATATTATTAATATGTGGGTATCTAATCCGTATATGTATATGTAGGTACAATACTATCGATAAAATAGCGTTAGAGTTGAGTTGGAAATGCAGATCTATGCTGTCATTTTATATGTAAAATTAAATAAAAACTGTTCTTGATCTCCATTTATACAGGGTGAGTTTCCTACAATGTTCTCTATGGGTATCTTGGAAACTACTGGAGATAGAGAGTCCGTTAAATGGGGAAAGAATTGCAGTTTTACGGGGTCATAAATATGCGCCTTTCAGATTTATGAAAAAATTCATGGCTGACTAGATATTTTGAAAAAAACAAATTTCGGCTATTTTAAAAATTGTCCTTAATTCTATTATAAGCTATTTAAGACAAAAAGTTTTCAGATAAAAGTTGTAGATAATTACATCCTTAATGAGATCGTGTCCTCTGTTTTCTTCTAAAGCCTGTCATTTTTGACATATCACACAAACATATGTTTTTTTAAATGGAAACCATAGTTGACCATGACTTCATAAAAAGCGGCATTTTTTAAGCTTTTTAGCGATATAAGCTATAATATGTTTTCTTCGAACAATTACTGAGTTATAGCCAATTCTTATCATTTTTAAACAATTTCACTTAGTTAGCCATGGAAACAAGTTCAATCGCCGTTAATCTCAGAAATGTGAAGCTGTCACATTCAAACTTTGTAAATTAAAATAAACAAAAATTGTAAATATGAATTTCTCAAATGAAGAAAAGCGTGTAGATACTCGCGCATCAATAGAGTGTTTCCAAAATGACTTTCATTATGCCCCCCCCCACCGCATAATGAAAGAAATGTTAAAAATTATTGATATCATAATAATATAAACTCAGGGATAGGAAGAGGTGGTCTAATTGCATGGGCCTCCTCGATCACCTGACCTATCCATTTTAGATTTTTTTATGCGGTATGGTTAAAAATAAGGTTTACAAAAGAATTTATGAATTAAGAGAGGCACTCGAAGTGGCGGTACGAGAGAAGTTTAATTAAGTCAACCGGTCCTTTTGTGAGAATAGGTAATAATTCAGTTTTAAAAAGATGTAACTCAAAACAATAGCGGATTTTTTGAACATTTTCTAAAATAACTTAAAGTGTATGCAGTGACTGTAGCGATAATATTTTTTTAAGTTTTAGTTTGTGTAATGTAAATTCTAAAGAACCGTTTAGTAATATATTCTGACTTTTTATAAGTTATAAATCACAAAAGAATAAGAATGCCATGCAATCTAAGTGAAATTAGTCAAGAAAGATAAGAATTGGCTATAACTAAATTTAACTTTTCTAACAAGTCTTGAAAATCGTTCTCTAAAAAACATAACATTCACCGGTCAACGTATCCTCGAAAATGTATGGTCAAGAAAAGTTGAACCAATAATCTTACACGCTTTTCTTCATTTGAAAAATTCATAATTACAATTTTTGTTTACTTTAATTTAGAAAGTTTGGATGTGGCAGCTTCACATTTATAAGAGTAAAGACGATTGTTTCCATGGCTAACTAAGTGAAATTATTTAAAAATGATAAGAATTGGCTATAACTCGATAATTTTTCGAAGAAAACATATTATAGCTTATATCGCTGAAAAGCTTAAAAAATGGCACTTTTTATAAAGTCACAGCCAACTATGGTTTCTATTTAAAAAAACATATGTTTGTGTCAAATGTCAAAAATGACAGGCTTTAGAAAAAAACGGAGGACACAATCTCATTAAGGATGTGATTATCTACAACTTTTATCTGAAAACTTTTTGTCTAAAATAGCTTATAATGGAATTAGGGACAATTTTTAAAATAGCCGAAATTTGTTTTTTTCTAAATATCTAGTAAGCCATGAACTTTTTCAAAAATCTGAAAGGCGCATATTTATGACCCTACAAAACTGCAATTCTTTCCCCGTTTAACCGACTCTCTATCTCCAGTAGTTTCCGAGATACCCACAGAGAACATCGTAGGAAACTCACCCTGTATATTCCTAATTAAATATTAATAGTAAAATTCGTTGAATCAATTTTTTGGTGACTTTATGTCTGAATGTAAAAGAAACAAAAACTAAAAAAAAACATAAAATAAACAAATAATAAACCAAATAAATATGATTATAGCTCGGGGTTTGAATTTTTGGTGTTGCTACAGCAAAATAAAATATTAATTCACCACAATACACTAAAACGCTTTACTTTTAAACACTGGTTGCACGTTTTGTTCACCGTGTTAGCATCATCAGTAGATGATGCTAATATAGTGAGCGAAATACGCATCTATACTTTAAAAACAAAGTGTTTTTTTCTTCCAAATAAATATGTTTAATATAAAAAATTAATGAAAATGGGACTGCAAATAAAAAGTAACAAAAAATAATATTTTTAATCTATATCAATATTGTGTAACTAGTAAAAAATTCCAAAAGTATCTACGATTTTAAATTCTAAATCACAAAATTGGAACAAACATTTTGAACCAATACAAAATCTCATAAAATTCCCTAAATTAATTCCAATCCATTTAAAGCCAGAAAATACCTTTTTCTAAAATACACCACCGTTATTTTTATACGTAAGTACACACTACTTTATCCTCCTAGTTGCACATAAACACAATAAAAGAATATTTATATCTCCGGTCCGGATTAACGCTCGAGAATAAATCCGAAACAATAACGAAAACTGAAAAACAAAGATTGTTTAAGCTGTTATTCTTCAACGAGCTCAAATAAACCATTATTATTTTGCATATTAAAGTAATACGTTTTGGCATTATGATAATAATCCTTCTTAACGGTATCAGTGCACTACGCCGTATTTACCCCAAATATCTTCGACGATAAATAACGATTTAAAAGGAGTAAACAGGATATATCATTGAACATTTTCTTAGGCTTGATTTACAGTCGTTTCTTTTTATTTTTATTAAGATATAGAGTGGAAATTAGCAAAGGTGATGGTAAAAAGAAACTTTCTAAAAAGGCTTCCTTTTAAGACCATAGATTAGAGTCATAGAGTCATTAGAATCACAATTGAATCTATGAGCATGTCACAAACTGCAAATTATGAATTTTAATTAACTTCTAGACTGTAAAGAAAGAAAAAAATTGTGTGTGTACTATGTGCGTATTATTTCAAGTAAAACTTCTTACTGATAGCTATTAAATTGAAGGATTTGAATGACATGTTTGAAAAGGTGACATAATATAATGCTGTTTTAATATAAATATTATTTTCAATTTATTTCTGTAATCTGTACATT